TTTTTTTTTTTTTTTTTTTTTTGAGAGAATCTGAGAGGCTTTCTTTTCCTTTGTCCCTTATCTACATTTTAAGTAATATCTTAGATTCTTAGGATATTACAGCTGGTAGAAAAGTCAGAGTCCTGGTCCACACATACTCTTTTCGTAGATGAACTGAGACTCAAAAGGGAAATTCTTGTAGAATCCATTAGGGTCATGTTTATGGAGTTTAACTGGGTGAAATTTAAACAGAGAGTTAACTACAAGTTACCAGCCTGACAAAGAATAGAAATGTGAACAGTATTTTGTGACATACTTTGATAATTCATAACATTATATGTTGTTCATTTTTTTCAAATTTAGGTCACATTAAGAAAATGGGAGCGATTTGAAACCAACAAAGAGACAGTGGTCAGATACCTTTTTCAAACAGGCTCCAGCCATGAGCGCTTCTTGAGCTTTAGCAGTTTGGAAAGTTTATCTTCAGAATTGGAACAGACAAAGGTATATCAGTAAGACACAGAGTCCCTGGGTACTTGTTATTCAGAAGAAAAACTGTGTTTCCACTCCTATTACTATTAATTATTGTAATTATGCATTTAATCAATACCTATTATTTATTGATCATCCGCTCTTCAGTACACTGGTCAAGTCTCTCTGGGGAATGAAAACATAAGATTTAAACAGCAAGAACTGAAAGAAAGTTTTCATTAAAGTGGGAAGTAGTTCCCTAATAGATGAATGCATTAATTTTTTTTTTCTTCTAAAGGCAGTGATATTTTTACCTGAACCTTGAAGATTAGATAAAGACATAGAAAAACAGAGTTTGGGGCAGAAAATGAGCAATCCTGAAATAAAAAATGGCATAAAGTATGAAAGTGTTGGATATGGGGATTCTGTGTTGTAGAGCAGAAAATGAACTACACTTGTAAAGCAAAGATGCTCTAGGCAACATGGAGCCCTTAAGGGTTTTTAAGGAAGAGTCATGTGATCAGAGCTGCACTTCAGGGAGATGATTTGAAGCAGGTGTGGAAACCTGGAAGGGTGAAGGACTGGAGTCGTGGGATCAGGTTAGAAAGGTATTGCATGTGTGCATGAATATGGCCATGCATTAGGGTAAAGGGGATGGCAGTGGGGACAGATGCAATGGATGGAGTGAAGGAAAAGATGATCCCCAAGGTTCTGAGCCCACAGAGACGGTTGGGATGAGATGGGAACTTGAAGGAGTAACTGTTAGTGGAGAGAGGACCCACTGTTACGACATACTGAGTCTTAGGC